TGAAATTAGACGTCGCAAACATAAATTTCGAAAGAATTGGACAAGAATGCCACCCACAATGCGCGAGTTGATAATCAACAATTTTTATTTTTTATAATCAATTATTTTACTTGTTTCCTATATATATTTGTACTTTAATACAAATGTGATCACAACACTTTTTTTTTCAAACGGTCACAGTATTAACACTAATGCCAGCGGTGCACCCGTAGGACACATGCCATGAGAAACCAAAATGCTGGCACTTAGTGTGAGGGATTAAGGAGCAAGGAAGTCTCGTGGACATCGTCATTTAAGGCGATGTGGCGGGTTCTCGGGGTTGGAATGTATAGGGGGGGGGTAAAGGGTTCGAGAAGTAAGGTTAGGATGGATCGAGAGGTTGGCATGAAACTTTTAGAATCAGGAACAGATAAGTTCGTTACAGAAGGAAAGGTTAGTGGCGTAGTAAAGGGCTTTGATGATTAGTCTGAGCACTTCTGATTGGAAGGATTGGATGCGCTGAATGTTGGATGACTTGACAGAACCCCACAGTTCCACTCTGTGATTGCTCTCAGTAAAATCTTGCCCCTCGGGTCTTGGTCGCCCACCCTGCGTAATATATATATATATAAAATCTTGTATAAAGATCTTGTATATGTGCGACCCTAGAGGTATTCATAGTCGTGCAAGTTTTCTGTTCAGTTGTCTCATAACTCTTTCTTGCCCAAAGTTATTTTAGAGCAAGACGAACTTTAGCAATTTTGTTTAAGGCTAGCAGGAAATCCCACCAGCGCAGTGTTGTTCCGGCTTTTTGCCAGTGTATTGGCAACAATGATTTATTAGGCGCCAATCTAAACTCATAGAATTTCCCGCTAGCCATTTTGCAAAATTGCTAAAGTTCAGCTTGCTTGAAAACTACATTAAAGAGTTGTCTTGTGTGGAGATTCCACGTAGCCGCCTAGGTATAGTTCTAAGTATTTGACTTCAATGGAAATTTCTCTTCATTGATGTAAAGTGAAGGGCAAGACTGTTTTTTCAATGTGAACATGCAGTAATCATCAAATCATGTCAGATGCCAGCCCAGCACCGATGCCAGATCTGATTGTCTTGAGGAGCCACGCTCTTGTGGTAAACGATAGAAGAGTTTGAACATGGAGTGATAGGATTAATTTCTTTGCCTTTGATATTAGTTTTTGTTTTATATTAATTATTTTAAACTGTATAAAAAAACTTGGTATTGATGATGACAGAAGTAAATAATGAGACATCATAATATTTAAAATTTATGGTTGATTTTGAATTAACGCTTGAATGGCGCCCACTTTTTGACTTTGTTTTTCCTTGAAAAACCAACTTAAGAAAGGATTAAACAAAACTATTAAAAAAGGGTTTAGAAATCGTCTGAAAACCGGAAGAAAAACTTATGTTATAGTCGTAAGTTCTTGTATGGTTGAGGGAGTTAGCAGGGCTGCCCCTTGGATAGCCCCGTCCAAATTGTTTTCCTTTCGTCCTCATTTCTTTCTTCTTCAGGCGCTCTTGGGTTTTTCAAATTTCTAAATCATATTCTCTAAAGCTTATTTGCGGGAAGTTTCTACTTTCTTTCAATATTCCAACACCGATGTTTGAAAGTTTTCGTGTGTGCGGTGTGTGTTGATGCGTGCGAGAGTCCTTACTTTTCCCGTTGCACTTAACCCACTTACATTTCCCAATCTTACTTTTTTCTTTACAGATGTTTTTGAACAGATAGCAAGAATAAAACGTTGCTCACGTGTCAATGAAACTGTTGGAACGTCCTGAAAAATTCACAGTGCAAACAGTAGTTAGCATAACAAAAATAGAGACCTGCTTGAATCAATCTTCAAGTCCAAACATTTCTGATTTCTTAGGGAATGAAAGACGTCAAGGGATAAAAATGAAATTATTTTTACTTTTGAGAAATTTCCGCCGCCAGTGGTCTGCGGTGTATATGTTTTGAGAAAATAAACCCTCACTTCCTAGTCGCCTTTCTACATCATCATCATCCTATTCATGAATGTACCCATACAAACAAACCAACAAACTCTGCCACTCAATTTGTTATCGTATTAAGAGCGAGGAGGTCTCGTGGCCATCGTTATTTGATGGGACTTTCTTCAGATGGGACGTAACCGATGGGGTGGTCTTCAGCAGTAGAATGAAGATCAGTATGAAACGCAAGGAAGCGGAAACGGATCAATTCTTTAACGAAATGAACGTTTAAGGTCATTGTGCATAGTGAAGTCTGAGACGTAGTAAAAAAACTTGGAGTAATCTTCTGAGGACCTATTTGAATACTTGGTTTAGTTTGATATTAGATGGAATGGTGATTTTCCAACTTACAAATAAGTAATACGATTTTCACCCGGTCACAGCATACGCTCAGCACTGCTTATTCTCAGACATGTCTTTGAGAAACCAGCCTTGGCTGATACTCTCGCTGCTGAAAGATTATGGGACAAGAAGGTCTCTCACAAAAATAGATAGTATTCAAAGTATAATAATTTATACGAATCTAACAGCCAAAGTTAAAGTAGAGAACTCGCGACGCCTTTTCTTCAAAATTTGAACCGCAATATAGGTTTTTCATCATTATTTTATAAAGTTTAAATGAACTACATATAATATTGATATTCAATTGTTTTGACGTTTCTTTTTGTTCCACAATAAATTCAGCTATAACAATAAAATATTGTGAAATTTCTTCTGGATATCTTTACGGTGACCTGTAGCTTCGTCGTTTCCGATCATTTTGCTCCGCCTAGTCTTTATTTGTTTTTCTATGACAGGAGCTTTTAACCACCTAAAACAAAATTATTTATTTCCCATCCACATAATGGGATTTCCTCGTTGACTCACGCAGCACTAAATTCTGTTGTTTGGTCGTTCAAGATCATTTTTGTCTATAAGACGCGTTTCGGCTTCTCGCAAACTTCGACCAAACCATCAAAAATAAGCGGCTAAATTGATCAGGAACGACCATATTACCGTTTCCCCAAAATTCTTATCTTAGTAGAGATAAATATTTATTACTTCCGACGTGGGCCGCTTTCTTCTGCGTTCCACCTGTGATTTCCAATAAAATAACTACCGCTGGGAAGGCAAAAAATAAGGTGTAATGACAGAATGAATTGAAACTTGAGAATAATTGCCATAATGAAGTGAATGAGATACCATAATATACTATGAAATAAAAATGAGTTTAAATGAATTAGGAGCACCAAGGGGCTTCACTAACAGTTAACAAAATGAAGACGCATGAATGAAATAGAGTATTGACATAGATAGGTCGAGGCGAAAAAGCACTCTGAGGTGTGACTAGAAGACTTAGCTCGGTTTATCAGAAAGAATCTGCAGGATTAACAAAAGAAGGTAAAATTAATAATTTTCTTATGATCAAACAGAAACACAAGAAGAGGTTTTGTAACGTATATGGTGTAGTTAGAATAAATACACAAGACACTTTTATTACATGTTATCTTTGAATAACCACCATTACCATTTTTGGCTCTGTATATTTCTGCTGTTTCTGGTCAGGTTGAAGCATCGACGGAAGCGACAGTCCGGATACGGTAAGCCAATTCCCATACCAAAAGAGATGCGCGAAGAGGCGTCGAGGAAAGTGCCTTTTACAGGAAAAAGTGCATTTTCCAAGCAATTGCTATAACTTATACGGTTTCCACTCTATTTAGATAGCAGCGGAAGAAAGGATTTTTAAAAGACTTAATAAACCCCCTTAAAACGTATAATTGGACATGACCTCATAAGCTGACTTTTCCAATAGACTCTCGAATGATGTAAACATTAATTTGAAGAAGAAAAAAATATTAATAAAACTATTTTTTTTTCTCAAATTCCATTTTCTTTAATTAATTAAAAAAATAAAATAAATGAATCGGTAAAATCTAGTCAGAAATAGTTATGATTATCGGCGTCAGTCTCGCTCCAATTATTTCCTACACTTCCGCTGGTGATCAGTGTTTTCGACCGTGTCTAATTTATTAACCAAATGATGAATGTAAACTTGGTCTTCCACACTCCAATTCGCGACCACTAGTTATTCTTACAAGTCCATTTGCAAATGAGATTCTCACAAAATTATATAAATAGGAGTATTTATCGTAGAAACTAAATCGGACAAGATGATCGTTTCTTTTTTTCCTCCAGTTGCATTTTATATGTAAAAATATCCCATTGGTATTTAGAATAATAATCCAGTCGGCCCGTGTGAACTGGTTCGACCACCGAATGTCAAACGGGTCGACTGCTTGTGCATCATTTCACCAACTCTTGCTAATAAATACACCTCGCAATTTAATAGTCCTGGAAAGCCTGAGAAACGATTATGGCAAATCTGTATTTCTGGCCGGTAATATTTCTGGCTCTGCTTTGCCCATCTTCTTTATGAGGTAGTTGAGAGGGCAGAGTCGAGTATAACAACCCTTAGTTTGGCCTTTTCCATTAGTTTTGGTCCTCTATCCTCCGTTTTGTTTGAACATTTCGAAAAGCTGAAACGCATCTAATAGAAAAAAATGATCTTGAACGACTCAACAACAGAATTTAGATAGACAGTGTCAGACAAAGAGTAAATCCCATGACTTGGATGGGAAATAAATAATTATGTTTTAGGTGGTGAAAAGCTCCTGTCAGAGAACAACAAGTGAGACTAGGCGGAACAAAATGATTGAAAACGACCAACCTAAACTCCGAAGCTAAATTTCCTGTGGAATAAACAGTTCAGACAGAACCATTAAAACAATTGACTGTCACTATTGTGTTTTTATAACATATATAACTTTTTATAACATTATGATGAAAAAAAACCGATGATGCGGTTTAACTTTTGGTTCAAATTTTGAAGAAAAGGCTTCGCACTTGCTTGCCCAACTTTCTCACGTTAAGTTAGGCTGCAAGATTCATATTTTCACGATTGTACACATTATAAGACCTACAAAAGAAAAATCGTAACAAAAACGAATGAATAATTTTGTTATTGTCGTTTTCAGGAGTTTCCAGGTCGGCCAAGGGGAGATTTTACACTTGATCAAGATCAGGCGGAAAAGTTAATAAAACGGTTGAAAATTAGAAAACAACAGCGGTGCATCTGTCTGGTCGTCATTTCGTTTTTGAGCATCGTTGTCTTCATACTGTGTGTTGTTGTTGTTAGTCTATTAATTACGAATGGAAAAAGGATTTTTGGCTCTTTGTAAGAAATCAATTCATGCACAAGTCACAATCAAAAATGTTTTTCACTTAAAGAAAAAAAAACACAAAACACGTTCTTACAAAATGAGTGAAGACAACAAATCAAGACATATCAGATTCTCATATGCATGTATATAAAGGAATGTGTATAATGGAAAAATAGTAAGAGAAATATGTAAGTAGGAAATATAGAGACTGAGACAATAGTGAGAGAGAGTGAGAGAGAGAGAGAGAGAGAGAGAGAGAGAGAGAGAGAGAGAGAGAGAGAGACATTGGTGACTTTTCAAACTAGGATCATCTTATTAAAATGATTCATCTTTATGTCCGTTTAGGTTTCAATCATCCTTTCTTGTACATAACCATTGTAAATAACAATATGCAAATTATTAATTGTAATGAGATGCACAGTTTCTTCTTTATAAAATAATTTCAAAAAGTTCCTACATTTCATAATTGATTTTTATTTTCTGTTAACGCTTATTTATTTGATGGATATTGTTTTATTTAATGCAATCTGTTTTGCACTACAACATATGCCTATTACTATTTATTTAAAATGCTAGCATCAGATTATTAAAAACAAAATCTGAAATCTGATGCCCAGTCATGGTAATGAACATCCCAGATTATTGTGACCAAATTAAAATTATGCTTCTCTTTTGGTGAATGCTAATTTATTTGTTTTGTGTTACATCATTGCTCATCTGTTATACTTTATTTATGTTAATAAGTCATTGTCAATAATTGAGACAATCAATTTTTGTGACAAAATGTGGTGTCATGTAACTATTATTTATATGAATTAGAATCAAACTATGAGATATCGTGTAAACATTCATCATATACGATAAGACTAAATATTGAATATTGAGAATAAACAAAAGGGTAGTACTTTAGTTTTTCTTCTCCTAAATGCCTTGTCTTTTGGTAATTGAAAACAGGTAAAAATTCTTTCAGCATTGGACGGTAATTTTCCCCAGATCATCCCACTCCACTATTGTCAGTCATTGCAAATATAAAATGTATCCTGCACATACAAGAATATGAGCGACCTGATGATCAGGCGTAATCAAGATGCAGATTAATGTTCAATATAACTCAGATGATAATCTATAGTACTATATTATTTATAGGTGGACAAACATGTAATGGTCATCGCCGGCTCTCTATCATAAAACGGAAAATTATGTGGGTTTTTTTCTCATTGACACACATATTTTTTCTCATTTTCTTAAATTGCTAACCTCAGGTGCATATAAACATAAAGATTTTCATACTCCCTGCTTCCCTCTGAAGAGCCAGGAGTCCCGACCGATGGCCAAAAACCCAGATAGTACATTGAGGAACCTCCACACAATGTCCCAGTGAAAAGCCGGCAGACCCCCATCAGGTGTCATAAGATTATCCAGTACCATACAATATCCCTTCACTTCTCAACACTTCGACAAGTCTGGTCACATTCAGTCACTCGAGAAGACACAATACATGATGATGATGATTGGTGACTAGGAGGGGGTTTTATGTTCACCAAGCACTGGTGTTCATAAATTGGTTCTGGCTTATTGTACTATTCCTAGTTCCTTGGTTCTATGCATTTGACTCACTTCTTTTAAAAGTATATATTAGCTCCTTTACTATTGTTGATGCAAATTCTTTTCCTTGATTTTCTTTACATCCAAGGTTATGTCTCTATTGAACAGTTCGCATTTGAAGATAGCATGGGTGGCTATTTCTTCCTCCTCATTACATAATTGACACATGGGTCAACACTGAAGATAACCATGTTATGTAGACGTTTTCCGAGATGCCAGTGACCGGTATAGTCCTATCACTCCTCTGAGATAGAGCCCCAAGTTGGCGTCATCAGAATATCCAGTACGATGAATATCCCTTCAGAAAAGAAAACACAAAACATTCTATATAAATTTAAAAACACTGATAGACCTGAGGTACTAAACAACTACCGTGCATAGGTCTGTACATAATTGACGACATAACCTCGTATGTCCCTTTCTCTTCTCATTTCAACCTCTGTAGACCGTGAAACAGTGCCAGTCTTTATTTGCCATAATTTGGTATAAGTCTATGCTCAGCAATTTCCCCCATTTATCTCTTACAGTGGGGCTTCCCAAACCGTGGTCCACCGACCCCTAACTAGGGGGTCTGCAGTGAACTTCTAGAAAAATGAATAGTTACAAAAATAAACGTAGAATGAATAAATAAAATAAACTAAAAAGAATGAGTACTGGAAACAAAAGGTATTTTTATTTATTCATTCTATGTTTACTTTTGTACATGTAAGCAAAATAGGTAAGTGAGATGGGACTATACTGGTTAGTTTAACAGTTCCTAGAAATAAAATTGATGAAACAGGGGTCTTTTATTACCGGAAACTGCTGCTTCTGGAACACCCTGGATTTTTCCAATCTATGTTGTATATAAAAAGCCTTTGTTTCGCGAAAATGTGATTCAAGCTCAAACTTCTCTCGTGAGTGCACTACCTATGTGTCGTTCTCATTGATCATTAATTTACTTCAATATTGATCGGTGGTTGAAGTAAGGGTCTTTGAGGAGTAGTGCAGTTTCTCCAAGGTACACACCCAAAACTCCCGGAGAAATGTGCAAAACCACTTACTGCCAATGCAACAGATGGCAAAATACTCGGTTTGTTAGAGGATTTTTTACAACAAACGAAATCCCATTGACGCGTGCACAAATGGTGCAACACCAATGATTTGCCGAACAATCAGAATGATTACTAAAATAAAACAAATCCAAGGATTGAACAGCAGCCCATTGTTTTCTACACAGACATGCTTTTTAGCTATGAAACAAAGGCAGCCAATCTTGAGAAATTTTGTGATGTCTGTTCAAATTATTATTGAAGTCGACTTTTCACAATACTATGATGCTATTGCATTCCTTCATCATTCCCTGCTTCTCCATACAGAATTGAGGTGGCCGTATTGTGAGAAGCACTTTCACAATTACAAATTGGCCAACATTGTAAATGATGAGAAATGGCAATGTATACTGTCATATTATCAGATATTTTCATGAAAATTAATGCGTTTTTCTTTGCAAGGGAGGAGTAACACAATTTTATGTTGCTAATGAATGTTTGCACCTTTGAAAAAAAAATTTGCTTTCGATTGAATCTGTTGAGAAGAGGTGGTGTGTGGTGAAATATGCAAACACCTTCAAAGTTAGGCTATTTCCTTCAAGCACTAGTTCCCAACAGCTCGAGAAACAATGCTGCAAGATCAAGAATGGGTACCATTTTCAGTTTTGACAAAGCCAACCAGCCTACCTTCAAATGAATAGGAATGTCTGATAGGATTACCTTGAAATCTACTTTCGATATGAATACATACCACAATTTTTTACTCTGTGAGGGTAAAACAAGTCAACCACTTGTTGAAACAAAATTCTTCCCTTTGCCACAACTTACCTTCCATAGGGATTCGACAAAATCAACAACCAGTTCTCAGGTGTGGTAGTTTCTCATTTTTCCACTTTTTTTTATTTAAATTTTTTATTGGAATTAATCAGTCAGAGGATGCAGAAAACATAATTTTGTTTTTAAATGTATCTTTATTAAATTGTTTTATTTGTAAAACAATTATAATAATAAACAAATAATTCAGATTTAATATTGCTTAAATCAATTTATTTAAAACAATGGTAAACTAAAACAATATAATATTGTTGAATAAAAACAGTCAAATTCACAATTAATTTAAAAACCTGTATTTAAGACAGTTTAATGAATTTTGTACTGTTAAAACGGCCAAGCATTTTGTTGTATAAAAGATGTTTATCTCAAGGCTTGATTTCAGTCAATTATTGTTGTATGTATTAGTACAGAATTATTCTCTTTATACCAGAAGAGGAAATATGAATATTGATCATTTACCATTGTATTAAAAATATCATTTTATTTTATTTATAATTATACCTTACTCCATCTTATGTAAACTTAATATACAGTAAAACATTTTGTTACAACAAAAAAAGACCCTATGAACTTAATTTCTTAACGATAATCGATAAAACAATTAAAACTTAAATAAATTAATTTTCACTTCTAGTTAAAAAAAAAAAAAAAAATGAAATGCTTCGATTAATGATATTTCACATTTCAAGACCAAGGAATTTTTGACTCAAGCAGGATTCTTTTCAAGCATAACTTCTGTTCGTTTACTTATCTTTGATATAAACAACAAATTTTGAGCTAAGTATACAGATTAAACAAAAATCTGTTAGAACTGACATTAAATCGAATCACAGCTATGTCAAAAATCCATTGCATATTTGATAAATAAGATAGTAAGTCTAGACAGCCCGCAATTTTAAAATTAAAGTTAAAAAAATTAAATAAATGTTTTTAATTGAATCCTTTTCAATGATTTTCAATTGAACAAAATAATTGATAACATCACATGATTACATTATAAATTATATTGATTAAAAATGATTATTGTGACAATTATTATTGAATATAGAATTACCAAATTTCATTCTAAATTTTACAATTATGAATGAATTGCAAAAATAAATAAGAATAATTTACACCATTATGAAATTTTTTTATCATCTTCAAAATCTACATTCAAGGCACAATATCCTATCATTTATTTGAAACTGATAAAGAAGTCAGCGATATCAATTAACAGAGATAAGGCATAATTGTGTGCTGATGAAAGGTACATGCTGCAAACCAGTACATAACCTGACATGCGTGTTCCTTTTAACAAATTGATATTACTACAATAAGGCTTTATCCGATTTTCAAACGAATAATGAACAACATAGTAACGGAATGACTGTGAAATTCTGATCAAATTTTTTTTGATAGTAAATAATTGAAACATTCTAGAATTCTGCATTCTCAAGTTCATGTTAACAAGTAGATGAATCTTTCTTTAAACTGCAAAATAGTTACATCGTTTAAAAGATAAACATATTCATGAGGTATTACAATTATTGGTGTCACTGATAAATTTTTTATATATCCCTAAATTAGTACTTTATTTTTTAAGGCAATTTTAACTAATATATAGTAAAATCCACTTTCCTTTTTAACATGTAAATGTATAATAAATTATTTCTCTAATTCAATCTATACTCAAATACAATTTGTTCACAAATTCCACAAACTGAATCGTCAATATGTTTATGTCATATGGGAAATTTTATAAGTGATTCAAAAATGATTTTTAAAACTAACAGATCGCCTTTACTCTAATGGTATGAAACATATATTATTTGTCTCTTAGTGTTTGTTAATCGCTTTATATACATTTTTAACACAGGATAGCTTTAGCTATACCATTCATGAAAAGTGGGCAATTCAACAAAGCCACACAATTATTTATTATTTATCACCACTTAAATTAAAATTTTGGTTGTGAAATATAGAACAAAAAAGTAATATGTAACTATTTAAAGATATTTCGATTTTCTTGGTTATACATAAATATAAAAATTGTTTTCTATTAACTAATAACGATATTATTACAGAATTCAACACTGTGCCGATAAGAAATAAAAGTTGAATTATATCGACAAGCCAATAATCGGCATATGTATACAACATTACATTATAATTCCTGTAGTAATTATATACACTGTATTTTAAATATTTACACTCTAATGTACATGTTTTATAAACTTGCCAATTATGAGCAACTTCTTTGATACTGAAAATAAGAGAAAATATTAGAGGATTTTTATAAAATTAACTTATTGAAGAAATACAATTAACACTAACAATCCACGATGCATGCCTGCGATAATTAAATAACACTACACCAGTTTTTAGTTATATAAAATCTTCAAAGTCTGCCGAGAATGCGGAGTATTCACCATAATCCTGGAAAAAAGGTAAAAATGAAAGAATAAATCATTCACCGTATTGGATTATTATGTTTCTTTCAAGGGTTTGATCAAAATGAAAAACGTTAACACAAACCAATCCGATTAATACGTTCGTTATGTCTGTCTTTCTGGAACGATATATATTATATTAAGTATGTATATTTAAGTTATTATAGTAAGTATATTATGTAATAAACATATATATTCGTTCCAGAACGACACACCTCTTCTAGAAAACCCCTGCTTTTCAAAGCTTGTTGTAGGGTGTTGGGGGTACTTTTGGAATCAAATCAGTGTCACAGGCCTTTAGTATCCCTTTGTCAATGTAACTAACATGACCTTTTGTAATTTTTTTACGATTTGTTGGAAAAAAAAAATTAACCCCTGACTTCATACCTTACCAGTTTTTTTCTGAAGTATGTTACAAAATGTGTGGTGATTAGTGAGCGTTAGATAATGATTATTTGGAGATCGTGAGATGCGGTCTGGTGCGATGTGAGTTTAGAAAAACATTTTCTTTATTGTGCCAATGCTTCTATCTTTATTGAGATCATTTTCAGGGCCTGGGATTTATAAACATTGTTTAAATTCACTTGACCAACTAATATCTTTTAATTAATTAAGGCTTTTAGTTAAGATAAAAAAGTTAAGTGTCACAAGCGGGATTCGAACCCACGACCCTCGGCTATATACGCCACTACTCTACCACTTGAGCTATTGTGACTTCCACTCAGACACTAACTTCCCATCTCAACCCCCCCAAAAATTCAAAAGGGACGATTTGGAAATCAAAAGAATTTCTCGTCCAAGGGCTCAGATCAGTGAACATTCGCCTTCAGGAATCAATCAGGAAGAGAAACAGCCACATTCCATCTGGGACTCACCAAGGGGACTTTGCCAGCAAGGACCAACTGTTGTGACTCATCAGATCAACTCGATGACCGCGGTATCGAGAAGGCACTAAAGGATGCTGTTCATGGTGAGCGTCTTCCGCGTTAGGTCCCTTTGATAATAGACTCATCCCAGATTTGGAGTTGTAGCTGACTTACTAGATTAATTAAGATTTTGTTGTGTCATATTCATTTAAAAAGGGGAATTTGTTCAAATAAATGTTTGAGAATCTACTGTCTGGTTTAGTAAATTCACGAACCTTACATTCCCCTACATAAAAATAAATAAATAAAGTAAAAGTAATAAGTAATAAATCTTATCGCTTAGAGAAAAGCAGGCAAATATAGAAAGATTGTTTGAACCACTGTCTCCGCCGCTTACAGTATTATTAAAAAAATTCATGAAGCAGCTTTTGTTTCAATGTGACCTGGGCATACTTTGTCTAAATGATTTTCCAAAGTGACCAGTGCTGAGAACACATTAACAAAATACTGACTACCGAGCATAACAAACTAGAGAAAATTCGAAAAAACTTAAGGCTGTAAGTAAACCATTTAGGAAATTTAGGAGGATATTAAAAAAAAAAAGTTCAAATAATAAAGAGGAAGTGGCTCCATTTCAGTTTATAGAATGTCCTGTCCCTGTTATGAAAAAAATATTTTGTATTACTTAATATCAAACTATAGAGAATTTTTTCAATTTACCAAAGTGGCCTGCTGAGGACGCTGAGTTATTATCAAGTTTTGATGTAACAGTCAACTGTTATACTGATATATGTATTGTTTTGTATCTCCTAGTGTGTGTTAAGAAAGAATTTATTTTTGGTACGAATGTGTAGTGCAAGACGCTAATGCCAGAATATTGAACATACCAACATTTGCCTGCATGTAGAGGGTGATGAGGAATATCAAGCACCACCCTAAATGAGTGACTGGCACATAAATAGGAAAGAATGTATTTAAAAGTTATGACAAAATTATTTGGAGTTTGGATGCTTTAGTTCAACAAAGAAATAAAGAGAAAGAAAGAAATGAAACCAAATTAAATTTATTGTTAGAATTAAAAAATAAAATTACAGAAATACTAAATAAAGGCTACTTGGATGCACTAAAAAGTGGGTTTAATAATATAGTTGAAACAGTACGAACGCAGTTTGAACAGGAAAAAACCTCTTTAGAACAGGCAAGAAAACCAAACACCAAATGACAGGTTCAAACCGCGCAAGATCTAAAATGTACGATTTTACCCATTCTTAATAAAACATCTAAGAATCTAGATTAACTAAATTTTAAAGTAGCTTTAGAAGACACAAGTTTACAGGAGGATGATTAGCATTAACCCCTCCGGATGGACAAATAAGACTTCATCTGGCCTCCATTTCATTCCACCAACACTTCATTGCATTATCAATTTCACAAGTGCCACTCCTTGTCTCTATACAGAGAGCCGCTTAGGACTGGGCCCAATGTGAGTGTACTAGAGCAAGCAAGACAGCGAGTATCTGCTGGCCCCAATGTTCCGATTTTCAGAAAGGGCTGTTTTACTGTATAGAACACTTTATACATATCTTTTGTTTGTATTTCTTTGTCTATTGAGACAGAATATATTTATTAGTGTGAATGTGTAGTGTGAGAGGGACGATGGCGGAATATTGAGCACCACCCCATCAATCTTCAATTGGATTAGTTATATGTCTATGGAGGGTGATGGAGGAATACCCAGTATTTTACCACTTAACTTAGTGAATGATATGTATTTAAGAGTGGGTGAGAGCATAAGTTGGGTTGAATCTAGAAACTATTACGGAGGGGACTGAAATGACCTAGATAGCCCTTCGAGCCCAACCTTCTTGGCTTTAAGGATAAAACCAAGGTCTGACACCAGGCTGCCAACACCTGGTGTGGGTGATTCTTGAGGCCTGCCGGTAATTTCTTATAAATTACAAAAGCTGGAATTGCCACCGGACTGCAACGAGTGATAGGCTCAACTCTATACACATATGCATGTATTTACATCTGTGTGAATTGAGCTTATATAAATCAGTAAGTGATATTAAAGAAAAAAAGTTTGTCAACTTTAAAACAACTTCAAGAAATACATTTTTAGTGTTTATGGTTTAATTATCTTAAAATTATTACTTACGTTATCCCCTTCTAACTTCAATTTTGCTTTCCCTTTGCCTTTCGACTTTTTTGATTTTTCACCTTTTTCTATTTTTGTTTTTTCTATGTGCAAGTTTCCTATCCACGTATGAACTTTTTTCAAATCTGCTGAAGATACTATAAAGAAATAGAGGGGTTAAAATTGGATCAAACTCAAAGGTACACAAAACTGAAATAAATTATTGTTACATATTTAGGCACTTACAATGTAGACATAAACTATGTATTATTTCTTCTGTAAAGTTGACAAAATTCAAGTTTTTAACACCCTCAGATACTAATTGTAAGACTTTTTCCTTCAATTTATCATAATCTTCTTTCGATTCTATACCACTTGGTAATACACCTGAAATTAAAAATAACCAGATAAATGATAGAGTTCAACTCAATTATTTAAATATCAACATAGACTCATCTAGATAGGACAAGTTCTTCATATCTAAGAATAGTTACAGAGATTAAATGAAACCTTTTAAATGGTCATAATAATTCAAAGTTTGCTGTTTAAAAATGTATCATTGGGTGTACCCAATATGTACTAGGATTTGTGCCTTTGTGTTATTATGTAATTTGGATATTTTTGGTTTGGTGGGTCCATATTCTACTTCTGTTATTATTATTTGATTAATGATTGGATTAATTGGTCCCTCTATTATAGGCATTGTGACCACAGTATTGCCATCGGCATTTGAATGAATGGTAGCGTCGTTGTCAATCGGATCATTTGGTTCTTCCAGGTCGATATGTGCTATTATGTATTCATTTTCTCTAATATTGTTAATTGTCTGTTCTAATTCGGCGTTGGTTAATTTAAAGTCGCTCAGACTTTCTTCTTGTAATTCGGGAAATAAATCATAAAAGTCTTGCAATAAGTCTTCAACACTTTTATCACTTAAATCGTCAAATTCGGAGGTTTCATTGGCATTTATTTCCACTCTTGACACAATGTGTCCACGATCACATTTTAGAGCCTTTGTTTATACTTAATATCAAAATTGAATTCTTTAATGTTTTTTGTTGCTGTTTCCACTTCAGAATTCATATGGTTGGTTCTAACTGGATTAACCATGGATTCTGTCATTTGATTCACAAATTGTGGAGTATGAGAAGTTTCATAATTTTTTACAAAAACTGGGTTTTTAATTTTTTCTTTATTTTTCTCTTTTCCAGTGTTTCTAATTTTTATCTTTGCTTTTGAATTACTCACATTAATAAGAGATTCTGATATTTTTAAGTTTCTGAATTTTGTGCGTGGGATTATCGTTTCATCAGACTTATGAGTTCCGGTTTTATTATGTTGTGGTTCGATTAAGGTATTTGATTATAGAGAAGTTTAATTTTCTGATGAGGAGTGTTAAGCATATGACGTATGTGCAATTTTTTTTAGAAAATTTTGAAACTAAATACGTTACAACGTATAACATAAATAATTTGGTTTTTAGTTCTTATGTTAAATGAATAAAAAACAAGATGTAAAACAAACCAAAAACTTCTTTAGCTATGTTAAGGTCAGATTCTTCCTGTAATTTCTGCCGCTTGAGTTTTTCAGCAAGAATTTCTTCTCGGGTCAACTGTACTTCTTCTTCTTCAGGCTCTTTTACAACTTGCTTCTTCTTTTTCTAGAGACAGAAAACAAACTTTAAATAACTCGCTTTAATTCACAAAACAAAAACAAAAAAAAAAAAGAGAGAGACTTGCAACGCTGGCACCCTAGCCAAAATCATGCACTTTATTTCTGCAGCGAAATAGAATTAAGAAATATAGGACTACCTGCTAATAAAAAAAAGTGTAATACCAATAATCCATAATGGGAAGGACAACAAAATATTTTTTTTTTTTTTAATTGTGAAGTTATTCTATTGCATTTAACTAAACACACTGAATAATCATCATGGTTGGAAGGGTTCCAGGTTAATTATTTGCAAATGATTTTAAAAAAAGATGTTGAATCATTAATTAAAAAATACAAAAAAAAGAATATATTGGGCTGGTGCAAAAATAATGCAAGTTTTGAAAAGGCAATCAAAACTATTTTTAATTTGTTTAAAATGAAGAAAATTTATTCGAAATATTTCACATCACAATCAATACATCTTTGATAACGTGTAATAACCACTTTTATTCCGCTGACATAAAAAACCTTATTTGGACTCACAATGAAGTTTTGGAAGGTGTTTTTTTGTCTCTAAAAATTTTCTCCCTCAAGACGTGATCAAAATGACTAAAAAAGTGGAATTTTGTAGGCGAGAGGTCAGGTGAATATGGTGGGAGCAGTAAGGTTTCAAATCCTATGTCTTTAAGTTTCTGCAGGGTTGGTATTACAACATATGGCCTGGCGTTATCGTGAAGAAGAATCAGCCTCTTATGTTTACCAATGCTGAACACGCATTTGTCTACTTCTTAGCAATATTTCTTTGCTGTGATAGTTTCAGGAAATTATAGTGAACAACCCCAGCAGTACACCACAATACACTCAAACAGTCACCATAACCTTTTTTGGGTGCAAATTTGGTTTCAGGAAGTCTTTTTGCGCTTCATCCTTATCCAACCACTGACTGCATGCCTCAAGTTATCGTACAGAATCTATTTCTCATTGCACGTAATAATTTGATTGAGAAATGGATCGTTTTGGTGGCAGAACAGAAGAGACGTACAAATTTCTATGCGACATTTTCTTTGGGCTTTGGTTAGTTTGTGTGATACCCACTTGTCGAGCTTCTTTACTTTACCAATTTATTCCAAATGGTGAACCATCACTCCACCGTGCATTTGCTAATGCTTCCTTCTCCCCAAACGGTATTGATGTTAGGCACCGAAAATTTTGACATTATGCACCAAGTTTAAATTCATACAATTAAATTGAACTAAAATCTGGTTTGGACGTATTTAATTTCGCAGGTCCTCACACACTTATAAAATTCAATAAAAAGTAAAATATTTTTTATAAAAGATAACAGTTAAAAGTATTTATTGTAATCCATAAATTAGATTTTGAGGATTTAGCTTTGTTTACATAACAAGCAATTGCAAAAATAAAACAAATTTTCAAAACCTGCAATAATGTATGGTGTTTAGTGACCGTTACAACAATACAAATACTTTGATTGAATTTAAAATTTCTAGCATTGTATAAATTCATTTTTTCCCCACATCCTACGTGTATTTGTAAAATGTAAACAATTTTTATAAATCTCAGGCCCTGAAGATGATCTCAATAAAGATCGAAACGTTTGGCACGATAAAGAAAATGTTTTTCTAAAACCTACGTCACACCAGACCGCATCTCACAATCTCCAAATAATCACCTGCAATAATTTTGCACCAACCCAATAATGTTCAAAATTGGTAGTTATTCAGATATCGTGAGATGCGGTCGGGTGTGATGTAGGTTTCATGAGCACTCTCCAACACGACACGCAAGGATGGCACAATTACACAGAAGACAAACTCTTTGAGCCCTGAAGATGATCTCAATAAAAGATCAAAACGTTGGCACGATAAAGAAAATGTTTTTCTGAAACCTACATCATACCCGACCGCATCTCGCGATATCTGAATAACTATCGATTAACGGTCACTAATCTCTACACAAATGTTCAAAAAGTCCACCTTCTTGAAGTACAAGCCTGACATCATTTCGGACAGATTTTAATGCCTCAAGAGTTCGTTCTGATTCTCTATTCTTCACACAGGATTCCTGAATCCTTTCTATGAGCTCATCCTTAGTTGTGAGAAAAATGGAATAGACTTAATTTTTAAGAGTTCCCCAAGTCCATCTTAGTAAATCTCCAAAAAGCAACTTTTCTCTAGTTCAATTTTGTATTGAAGAGACAGTTTTATTTACTTTGTATTAATTCATTATTTGTAAATAAGTTTCTAAAACAATGACTAATTTGTTAAACCATTATTAATCTCTCCTAAAATTGAACACTCAGCTAGGAAGCAGAGAATGTTTGTCCGTGAATTGCAAAGAGAACAAATCCCATCCCTCCCTCTAATCCAAAGAGTAGAGATCAATTGGAGGACCTCACAACCAAGTTTTAGAAGCCTTCGCAACTCAGATAGATTAAGACAGATGACATTTTGTTATTTTAAAATAAATAAAGTACATCAATCTATGCTGCTCTTTTCTTGCAGACAACAAATCTGAAAGAGGTCTAGCCATTAATCAAGGTTATTGGGGGTTAGAGTGGGTGGTTAGGGAGTACTTATGGTATAGATAGCCAGCGTTCATACCAGGAAGTTAAATTTAAAGCCTTGTTCCCACAATGTGTGTGGGGCTTGGCGAACTTGATCAGAAGTTTGTCAGACCTCAAACTGTAAAGACTCGTTATTGCTTGAGGTGGCTCAGCCTTTCCCATTTTTGTCGGTAAATACACCAAATATCAAAGGTCTGGGGTTTGACAGATGATAAGCCTCAGTATGGCTCAATTTTCCCATCTGTTGTGGTTTGTTGCAGTTGTACCAGTTTATTCTTAACTCACAAGTTTGAGTATGCTCATCAAGCCACACACCATGGAAACATGGCTTAACGTAACAACAGTTTTGATTAACAGACCACATAAAATAAGAATAAATCAATAAATAAGCTTTCAGGATTAGAAAGGAAATATGAAAAACTTCAAAGCTCTATCTCTCAAGCTTCTTAGCAGGGCAGTACAGGAGAGGATAAAAATCTTCTATTTCAAGGGTTTCGATATCTTGTAATCCACATAGTGGCCCCCATTTTGTAATACTAAATATTGTTTCCACTCTCCTAAAAGTGGAAAATTCCAAAATATATAATGATTTGTGTTTATTTAGAAATCGTGAGATGCGGTCTGGTGTGATGTAGGTTTCAGAAAAACATTTTCTTTATCGCGCCAACGTTTCGATCTTTATTGAGATCATCTTCAGGGCCTGGGATTTACAAACATTGTTTACATATAACAATTACATTTTGGATGTGGAAAAGTGGAAAAATAATAGATATAATGATTGTTAGACTCCATTTTGAATATGTAGTCAAATCAATGGAAGGCCATAAATGAAAACTTTCTAGGATTACAGCAACTGAGGTAATTAACTACAAAATCTCATGGTTTGCTCACTGGTATAAACTTCTATGGAAATGCAATCTTGAAGTATCCCTGACTTTAGATAACATATCCTCTTGGAGAACACATTTATTTGCTCTGTTAAATAAAATCAATGCTCACAATCAGGAGAATTGTTTAGGAACTGCCCGCTCTAGTGAAGGCTAAAATTTACTCAGAACTTAAACTTAACACAGCATTTTTTGACTTACAGAAATGTAACTATAAAGATCTAACCCAGACAGAGCTCCACAGGTTTTTAAAATTCACTGTGAGGTGTTACATTTTAAGTCAGCATTATGGATTGAGGGAGACTCAGGAAAGTGTACTTTCTGAATTCGCATACTCTTGAGGACATGTTTCACTTCTGGTCTGAATATTCCACATTGAATGAGATACTCATATCATTATGGAATGCCTGGCATGCTTGGAATTATCGGTACGATTTCATGTGTTAATTTTTCACCTTTATTTTAGTTTAATACCAGTGCATGTGTTTCCCTTTTTAGTTAAGTAAGAGCAGATTCATTTTATTTTATATATTTTTATTCTATTTATTTGTTATTTACATCTACAAATATTGCGTGAAGTAAATATATTCGATTTATGCTGTGTCGTTTGAGTCGCACNATTCGCTTTAGTTTGTATAGGAGACCCTTGTGCCACACGCGGTCGAAAGCTTGTGACACGTCAATGAAGGTCCCCATACAGTATTCTTTGCGCTCTAGGGATGAGGATATGCGGTCTACAACGCGTAGCACCTGCTGGGTCGTAGAATGCCGGGAACGAAAGCCAAATTGGTGGTCTGGGAGTAGGTTGGGAGAATTAATTGTTAATTGTGCCTTAAACTAATGAGTAAGGAAAATATAGAGCCTTGGTGATGCTTGGCTCATTATAAAGGAGAATAATTTATTTTTAGCAACAACATGCTGTAATGCATTATATCAATTATTTCTTTGTTAACCATGTACACATTTATCAATAAAAGTATGTTGTAGTTTAAAAGTTATACAATATTTCATTCCCCAATAGTGTCCGTTATAGGGGTTTTACTGTATTTTTAATGATTTTTTTTCTTTTTTGTAGAGGGAGAGACGGTAGAAGAAAGTCGGACAAGGAGACCGGGCGGGGAGGATTTGTTATGAGTGCAAGTGGTGAAAAGTGGCACAGGCACACCACGATCATCACGTAATTATGTGGTGGCACGTATGCGAACGGCAAGTGCGTGCCCCGGTCCGACACAAGTTTTCCACGTGTCGTCGTATTAAAAACACTATTTCGTTAAAAATGACCTGCACAAATGTTGATTTAAAAAAAATGTTATTCTCGACGGGAATGCGAAAAAAGGGGGAGGGGTTGGAATGAAATCGAACTGTAAAAATGGGCCAGACGGGGACGGAAGAAAGGGGCCGGCCCTGTTGCACTTTTGACCGAAATGCTGTCCGATAAATTAAATTTAATGGAGGAAAAATCTCGACACGAGCTGAATAAGGGAGTCGGGGTGTTTAATTTTATCCAACGAGAATCACCGGGGGGGGGGGACTAGGGATGATTGCGCGCGCGCGCGTACGTATGACATTAATATGACTCACCTCTTTTTCTTCAAGTTTCTCTCCTAATTTTTTCGAATTCTTTTTTTTCGCCGGCGGGGTTTCGGGCTTGATGATTTCTTCCTTTTCCTCCTCGACTTCTTGATCCCAACTGTCCTGTTTCGCAGGGGGAAAAGAACAACAATGAGAAACGTCTAGAAAGAAGGGAAAAAGGTCGGGAAGGCCAACATTCACGGAATCAGAAGACAATATTGAATATCTACTTACAACGACATCCTCCTCGACGTCTTCACCTTCCCATTTGTTTTTAATAATAGACACATTGTTGACCAGCCCGACGTCGGAAGGCTCGGCATCTGTAATTGTAGGAAAAAACGTGGAACACGTTTAGAAAAGTGCGCGCTTTTGTAAACAGATTTAAAAACAAAAGAGGGAAATTTCTTTTTTTTACCCCAACTATCCATATTCGCGAGGGACATGATCTCTCTCTTCGAAAGCAGGTTAGCAATGCATGGCACGAGACTCGACAGGCGGTTCTACTTTGATTTGCTCTCACTCTTGCACCTAGACTCTCCACTTTTACTGTTACGTTCAGAGCCAGTCTCACTCGAGGCTCCCACTCGACCTCGGTCACTTTATCAGGCCTCCATTACGTCATAAACTCTATTTCGGTGAACTCGCAGCACATGCCAATCCTTGGATCCGTATAGAGAGCCTGTAGGAATGCCACTCGATAAGGGAATTGTGCTTGAGCACGGCAACGAGCGGGCCTCTGTTCCTATTTTAAAGGTTTTAATGTATATAATACTTTATAGATATCTCGTCTTTCTTTGCATATGTTGAGACTGAATGTGTTTTAGTGAGTTTGTGGGTGTAAGGGGTTATGGAGATGAAGTGCTCCACCACCTAACTGAGTGAATGGTATGTAAATAGAAAGTAATTTATTTAAGAATGTGTGAAAGTGTAAGTGGGTTTGAATCTAGAAACTAACTGCATTGGGGATTGAAATGACCTAACTGTGTTTATAGCCTCTGGAGCCCAACCTCAGTGGCTGTACGGATAAGACCATGGTTTGACCCCCAGTTTGCCAACATCTGGCGTAGGTAATTCTTATTGTGCATTACACAAAAGGTGCGATTGTCAACAAGCTGCGAGAAGTAATTCATTCAACTTTGTGTAAGCGTGCATGCATTGAGTTTATATACTCCTCAAAAAATTAAAGGATAATTTAAAAATCTGTGTTATCTTACATTTCTCACCTTTCTACAACCTTGTCCAGGACGTCTAGTGAGGAGTCCAGTTGCTAAATAACATTGCCATAACTTCCAGATCATAGCCTGTTAAACGCCCAGATGGATTCCAGCCTGATGCTGAGAATGTCCTTCTCCAGTAAAGAGTGAGGATATAAACAGTTCTACTTCTTTTAGATGACTTTGTTGAACTCTATTTGTAATTCCCTAATTTCGTGGTCTGCTTGGCCAATTAATATGTTACAATTAATTAAGGTTTTTAGTTGAGATAAAAAAGTCAATGGCACGAGCAGGATTCGAACCCACGATCTCAACCCCATCTATTTGTAATCATTATTAAAGAAAATTTTAAAAAAATTATCATCATAATTTGAATGAAGTTAGTGGTCTAATTATGGGACTTTTTGCATAAAAAATAACCCTATAAATTAAATAAACAGTTTGAACCATTAGCCAGCACCTTTGTTTACTTTGTGTGTCAACATCAGCATTAAAATCAGTTTAACAATTAAATTTTATAACTTAAAAACAACGTGATTCATTAATTTTTTGAGGATTATATAAACCAGAAAATTAATTTTCAATTTAAGACAGAATTTAAGGCATCAGTAGGTTGGAGTATTTCAGGTAGTTGGTGGGATAGAATAATTTAGAAAAAAATGAGCTGTTGTCTTAGAAGTTAAGTAAATAAAGATCTGAACCGTCTACTGAATTGTGGCATAGTTTGTACATGAATATAATAGCACTATTGAATCGTCTGGAAAAGATAGTTTCAAGACCTGTCATTAGAAGAATTAGTTCATAAGACCTGTCTCCACATTATTTTTTTCCGGACTCGAAAGCATTTATGTAAGTAAAAAGGTATGGTCCGTATAACATATTAACACTGTAGATGATTATTTTTCCCCTTGTTTAATTTCAAATGTTTTATTTATTTTGATGCTATTACATTTAAATCTTTATTTATGCATTCATTTTGCACGAATTGTGCCCAATTTTGTACTTCTTCTGTTAATCAAGGAGGCCCAAAGGCCCCAAAAAAATTTTTTTTCTTCTTCTTCTTCTTCTACATATTACAATTTTCCAGTACTGGATGACTTTTACTTTTTCAAGTTAGAGTGACTTTTCTTACATATATCGTGGGGCTAGAGGATAGGTTGAAATTAATCTCATTTGACAAACCCATTATGTAAAGATTTTACTGCATAGATCCCATTCCAATGTGACAAATAGGATTTCTTTAAAATGATTAATAAATTAATTTACAAGTTTTTGGAAGTGCACAGGATAAAAGCACATCATCCTAGCTCGGGGCAAAGTTTGCTTACAGACGATGCGATTAGAACAGTTGTCTCTAATAAAAAAAAATGATAAAGTTGAATTAAATTCTAATTAATTTTTTACTCTTCAAAAAAAGTGCATTTTACTCTTTAAAAAAGTCCACATGAAAATTTTACCATATTCACCAGCTGATCCAAAGAGCCAGTACTGTATTAGCTGTCTTGCAATAATAAGTCCAATAAATCAATATTTGAAACAAGTAATTGCAAAATTATATACTTAACTGTTCTCTGTTGTTAAACCAACAATGGAGATTTATTAAAATTTTAGGTTATATCTTTTAATAAAAACTTTCACAGAAGAAGTGGAAGAATATTTAACAATCAGTAATAAGTAAAACAATTTTTTTATTACAAAAAAGCCAAAAATGAATGAAACTGACATCACACCTGTGTTATGGGAACATCCGGCATTCAAACCTGACATACTTATAAATAGACCTCCCCCCCCAAAAAAAAATAAAAAATTCTGGTGTACAGATACCAGGTAACCAGAAAAATCTTTGAGTGTTTAAAGGGTTTAATAATTGCCACAATTAAAATTTGCTTAGAAATATTTTATTCAGGGAAATAGACTCCATCAGCATCTATAACCTTTTCCCAAGACGTTACAAGCTCAGTTATGACCTCATAAAAGTTTGAGTCCCGAGATTGAAAAAATAAATTCTGCATGTTTTCCAGCTGCTGGCGATTATAGAATTCCTGAATGTGCATATGATTATCCATTGCCAAGAAAAGGTGAAAGTCAGATGGGGACAGGTCTGGAAAGTACAAAGGGTGTGGTAGGACTTCCCAACCTAGTTTCATTATCACATCCTTTGTCGTTCTGGCTGTATGGGGTCTTGTGTTGTCCTGGCAGAAAAATCACCTTTTCTTTTCACGAGAACAGGTTGTTTCTGGCTGAGATACTACTATGAGTAGATGGTTTGGCTATGTGGCAGGAGTTCGTAGTGCACAATGCCTGTCGTACTCCACCAAACACAAAGCATCACCTTTTGTTAAAAATTTGGACTTTTTTGACCATTTTACTGAAGTGACTCGAATCAAGTTCGATAGTTTCCCTCAATTTCGTCATCATTGAAGACACGAGGTCTTCCAGACCGTGGTTTATTTTCATTCCCCTCAATCCCAGAAGCAAATGTTTTGAACTACTTTTGGGCTGTGTGCTCACTTATTGTTTAATAACCAGTAATAAAAAATAACAAAAATGCAGTGCAAATTTTATGAGCTGCCTCGGCCGCCCTAGTACCGAGTTTAAATTCATACAATAAGCACACACGAATTATGAATTGTGAAGCCATAAGAAAGAAAATATTTGATAATATACAGTGAACTGTTGAAGGCACTTTTTCTTTATGAACTGATACTTGAATTACTAGATGTATATATCTAATCATCCTATGTAAACAGAAATGTTGATTAATGGTATTAAAACCATAACAAATAAAAAACCACACGAACTTTCCTGGTTACCTGGTTTCTTTTTATTGTTGCAAGAAGTATGTAATATGATTTATTGGAATTTAATGCTATACTAATGTGATTTCCTTTTTCTTTATATTCTGTCATTTATCTGTTTAATGGATTCTACATTTTAATTCCCCCCCACAACATTGTTGTTTAATGTAAATAAAACTGTAATGAAATAATCATTTGATGTAAACATAAGATGGATTATAAAAGTCACTTGACAGTTAGCTTATAATAATAAATTAAAAATAATAAATTATCTTCACTGTGAAGATCCAGAAGTATTAATTTTTTAGCTACCTCCCTCTGTTGAGGATGCTTGTAAGGCCATAGGACAAGTGATGCATATTGCCCATTGTAGAGAGTGTGTCAAGTATTAACTTTAAGACCTCTTTTTATACTAATAAAATAAATAATAAATTAAATGCTGACCCGATTACTATTATAGCACTGCTAATATTCTGAACCATGACTAATAATGGCAAGAAGATTGTAAATCGTAAGACAAATGTTATACTTAAAGTAATTGGCCTTGTGTTTTTGTGGTTTGTTTTAAAGTGCTACCGCTCCAACCATTTTTTCTCTTTAATTCATAAATTTATATTGTGAACATCAATGATTTGGCAGTTACAATTAGAAATGTGATCGAATGGTTAATTTTGCTTTTGAAAGATGGGTTAAGGTTTAATAATTAAATTTCAAAATGACAAAAATAGAAAATACGTAGTAATATAGTAAATTAACATTAACATTTAGTATAGCTCTGATCAACTTGGCCTGTTTATTTTTAAAGTTTTGTCTTTCAGAAGTGGATCAGCATTTTGTCATCTTCAGTGATTGATGTTATTTTACTGCTACTGAACAAAGGCTAAATGCTGACAGGCAAAACCAGCGAGAATTTGCAAACCAGGATGACCGCAGACAATCAAGTTAGCTGACATCGACATAATTTTTCACAATTATATTAATTTATTATTTATAACAATTTATTAACTGAACTTAAAACTATCCATGTTTATACATTTTTAATATAATTTTACTAAATTATATTACTAACTAAATTTACAGTTAGTTCATACTTAAATTATTTTTTTAAACTATAATATATTTATTTTCAATAAAAAAATAATGGTACGGGCATGGACATAATGGACCAAACTTGAGCACGACATGGCCCTCGGTCCTATCCCAACCATTTCAAGCCAATCTGTTAGCCACAAAAGCATGGGCACATGAAATAAATTCTCAAAGGTGCAATATAATTCCTTCAGACAGCTCTGCAGGCTCTCCAAGCCTACGAGAACACGTCAAAAATTGTCTGGAACTGCCTCCCAGAAAAAACTGGGATCTTCAAATAGCCTAACGTCCCAAGTCATGAGGGAATTTCAGGCACGAGGCAGTAGATATACTTTCTAAAAAAAAGCAGGCCCCCTCATAGGCCCAAATCTATTTGTTGGCATAAACTATAGTCACGTTAAACAGAGTAATGGAGTCTCGAGTAACCAAAGAACAAAATAAATATTGGG